CTACAATCTTCAAAAATCGTAAATCTTCTTTTTATTATCTTTTCTCATCAACAAAATTTTCTCATTTTCTTTCAATCTCAGTAACCCCTTTCGTCTTAGTGGCTCTATCACCTTGCTTGGGGTGAAATGAATTAAAAATGTTCCGGAAACCAAGAAAATAGTTAGAAATATAGAAAAAAATAAACAAAAAAATCATTGACAAAGAAATTACGTTGCGGTATGTAAAGGGTGCGAGGGATAAATTTTCGTCTTAATTACACAAAAAAAAAATGAAATTAATAATGACATCGCATTTTAACAGATATATTTACCAAAATTAAATTAAAATATCTTGAAATACTAAAGAGCAAATTTATTTAATAAAATCGACATTGGCTTCAACCACAGCCTCCAGACAACTTCGGAATCTTCTGCAACTCTTACGGACGGTCTACTTATTTAAGTTCGTGAATGCTGCCATAATCCTTGCCTTCAGTTCATCTTTGTTGTTACAAGGAATTTTGTTGGTTATTCGCTCAACTGCACACCACACATTATAATCAAGGTGGGTGTAGTCTGGGGAGTTAGATGGCCAGATGTAAGGAGTTATGTGGTTGCAGAAATTGTCTGACAGCAATGACTGGGTTCCTCTGCTTGTGTGGCAATGGTTCACAGTCTTGTTGCCAGATATATGGTCTTCCAGCAGCCACCCTCTTGACCCAGGGCAGCACTACCTCCTCAAGGCACCTGATTTAAGCCACCGTGTAGAGTTTGAGGTTCTCACCATCAAATTCTGGAGTTGTTTTCTTATCAGAACGATCAAAGTGACTTTTCCGAGCTGTCGTACCTTCGTAATCACCATTGTACTCATCCAACTCTTTCCGAAACCTCTGTACTGTCTTCAAATTCCAAACACTTTGAAATGTTCGTAGTACGAATGCCAAACAGTACCGCATGCCATTTCCAAATTTCTGTCGGAATGAACTGCGTCATGGTGGTCTTTTTCTCGCAGACGGTGCCCAACTGATTCTACTCTGCAGTCGACAAAAGGAAAAACAGGAGGAGTGTGTTCAGTATCGAAGATAGAACATTTACAAATGTAGACAGTGACGACATAGCAATCAACATTGTAAGGAGACTGTCACTTTCACTCTTCAGTGTGATTTTCAAACAATCTATCTATAAATAAATAAAATCCTTTGCAAATACCTTCTGTTAGTCTTCAACCAAAGTTATATAATTGAAAAATTACTGGTCAAATACACTCAATTCAAAACTACGCGTGTGTGTGTGTGTATATATATATATATATATATAAACGGATATATATATTCATTCACAGACCGACTTCAAACGGATACATATATATTAGCATTCACAGACCGACTGTTTCGCAGTATAACAGCTCATCAGTGTGGCTAGAGGTCAGGTTGCCTCTAGCTAGGATCGAAACCCGACTGAATTCGTATATATATATATATTCTATATATATAGCTGTATATATATATATATATATATATAAACGAAATCGGACCTGGGTTCGATTCTTACCATGATCGATTTGTCTTAATAATTTCAGCCTGCGGAAGTGTACGGAGCGCACGCACCTTTGGAAACTGTCAGAGAGCCATACAGCTGGCTGACCCAATCCTTGTCAGAGGAATTGGATAGAGGAAACACTTCATCGATGATTGTGCTACCACGAAGTCACAAGTCATCGTAATCGAGGGTTTGAACATTCTAGCCTTGTTAAAAAGAAATGGCAGACGGAAGGTTATGCGTACACTCCCGTAAACTGTAACTACTCAGCCTCGTTGCAATATAAACCACATATCGACTCTTCTGATTGAATAGGCGCCTGAAACAGAAAGACCTGTGTGTTTGGAAACAATTAGCCAAACATTATAAATATACATACATACATACATACATATATATATATATATATATATATATATATAATTGTTCAGAAACAGGGATGACTACTGCAACAAGTGGAACGCAATAATGCCCCAAACGGTGAGTCAAAAGGACGATTATTCCCTTGACACCGCTATTCCTGTATTCACTTGTGACTCCCTTTATTTAAAGCATTATAAAACTATGTGAACCAAGTATAATGTGATATTTATTATTTACCTATTGTAAGAAAATTATTTACCTATTTTATGAAAAATTAAATTTGAAAATAGTTTTTTTTTATTCCAAAATTTATAAAAACTACAAAATTATAAAATTATGTAGACCAACTACAATGCAATATTTATTATTTACCATTTCAGAAATAATTATTAAAAAAATTTTATTCAACTTAATAAAAAAGATAGTGTTTAACATCTTTGTTGTCAGTTCACACGAAAATGTATAAATCCATTTTCATACGTTTGGTTTTTATTAAATTTCTAATCAACGCTCTTTAAATAAACATTGCCAAAGCAATCAAAAGTTTATACAACAATAGCGGTGTCAACAGAATAACCGTGCTTATGGCGCACTTTTTTGCCGGTACGAAGGTGAAACATTGTCAAAATTATCAATTAAATACTTCGAATTGTTCTACAAAGAGATGTATATTTTCTAATAAGCGACATACGACGCAAACGGCACGGTAGAAGAATAATCCTAATTATATTAACATACTGAGTGTAACAGCAAAATTGCCCAAATCGTGTAACAGCATAATTGTCCGTCCCATAAAATGATTAATATTTAAAAAACACTAAACTAATTGAGTTTCTTTTTTCCAGGTTTTCAGATAAGACATCTTGTCACCATTTGTCGTAAAAATCACTGAAAAAAGAAACATTGAGTTATTCAGCTAGAAAGAGAACAAGTTAAAATCGCTTCGTGTCAGACCCACTGTTTTCCCAAATGAGCAATAGCGAGAGGAAAAAGATCATTCAAGCCTTTAGTAATGGTATCAACATTCATACTCTGGCTTCGATCTTCAAAATCTTTTCAAGAACCATCAAGAGAACGGTAAATAAGTTTTAAAAAGAGAGAACAGCAAAGAGAAAAACTGGGTCAGGAAGTCACAACAGCAAGAGGAATCATCATTTCAAATTAGAGCGAAATACATTCTTATTGTTCAAAGTCCAATAGTGTTATAAAAACCTCGGAGAATTCCATTAAAATATCTTTAATCATTACAACGGTTCAAAGCTTAATCTAACAATTGGACAATTTTGCTGTTACAGCCGGTATGTCATAGAAATGTGTTGTTGTCCTAGATTATTACTTTACTATTACGTTAACATAGGTGAGTAACGTATGTACTCCTTCACAGAAACTCGCGGGAACGCATCGTAGGAACAAGACTATGTCGCAAGTCAAGGATCCCCTGTATTGCCAATACTGGAAAGAGCGATAACAGTTATTTAAGAAGGAGTATTATATATGAAGTGAAAGTAACAAATGGTGGTTAAGTCAAATATTATATAGCAACTGCAGGGTTGGAAAGGAGTATAAACGACAGCTTCTATAATCATAAAATGAGCTTTACCAATAGAAAATATACGGGTAGCACCTTCGGAAAAGACGACCGAATCATAGAATGGGAAATATTGGTTAAATCTAGAACCTAAAACGAGAGCTGTGAAAGATGAGAGCCGTGCTTGACGGAGAAATTATTAATTCTCTCAAAGAATAAAAAAGAATTCATTAATGGCACAATAATTAACAAAACTGATTTGTAGAGACGAATGTACTTGTCACAAATCTTCTAAATAAAAACAAAAGCCTTCGTAGAAAAAGGTACTTCTGCTGTTTGTGTGAAAAAAAACTTCGTTTGAAGACGCCACTAAAGGATTTTAAGCGTCGACTACAGCGAAAATGAAGTGCAACAAAAAACTATTGGTGAATCGAGAACGCATACCAGATTCAAGTTTCTTTTAAAAAGCGTAACTTCAAGTGTCAGCAGCTTTGTCTAGCCTATGACCATCCCCACTCTGCTTATGCTCCACTTGTGGTCAAAGGAAGGAACTAAACAGCTGTGAAAGTCTGATAAGATTAAGGTAATGTGACGGGAACATTTGACAGAACTATTGAACCGCATCTTGCATGCGATCCCTGATTCGATTGATGTACTTCAAGCATCTCCTATCCTTTATGAGCTTGAGTTGCTCAGAGATAAAACGTTGCTTGAACAAAAAAAGTGAACACTGAAAAAGCGCCTAAAAGAGACGGTCATGTGACAGAAATGATACAGCAAGGTGATAATGAAATCATAGGCTTGTTTGTGCGATTTTCCAGTATGTGTGGTTGGATGGTACAATCCCCAAGAATGCAATTCTCGTCTCAATCTTCAAAAAGAAACCAAATATATATCTGTAATAACTACTGTAGGATTTTTCTTCTGTAAGTTGGTCAAATTTTTTTTGGTAAAATGTTTGCAAGAGTACTTATCATCTGATTAATCACCCATGCAACGCCAAACATTCTACGTGGATCGTACAGATATTTCCCGCTTGACCATGTCTCGACAAGCATTGATCTTTTCAAGAAAATTTCACTGAACAGTAACTTGTCTTTTATCAATGTTTCATTGACTCATACTGTCAACAGGCAGGCGCCTTAAAATGTACTCTTAAAGCCAGGCTGCATTTAAAATTTCATAACTCTGATTAGCTTCATGCATGAAGATATTAAAACATTCAATAGAAAATTCCTACAACTAATTTTAGTTGAAAATAGAAAAAAGAAAGCAGTTCTTGCTCTCTTATCATATCGTTTTAGCATTGTTTCTCATTTTTTATTTTTTTATTAACAAGACTACTGGAGTTTTATCAATTTGGTTCCAAAGATGAGAATATTCGAAATGAACCTCAAAGAAGGCTAAACAACCTCCTCAAAACGATCACACAAGAAAAGGAACGTTTCTCTTCGTTTGGTAAAGAAGTGACAAAAAATCAGAAACAACGTTCATGTAAGAGATGATTTTATTATTCCTTACTCAAACAAAACTGATCCTTATTTATTTATTTATTTATGGGGCGATGAAAAACTTTTCTTTTTCTGTTTTTTGAAACATCGGTTTTCGTACGATTACCGAAGTTAAGCAACGTCGAGCGTGGTCAGTGCCTAAATGGGTGACCGCTTGGGACTATCAGGTGCAGCAAGTTTGAATGTGCAGGTGGTGTAATGAATAATGGTTCGGAATTGTAAATCGGAAAATCGAGTTCCAATTTCAGTCAGGTTTGTTAAATTCACTGACATGCAAATACTCTTTCTAAAGGTATGAATCCACCTCCCCACCCCCAGTCATAAGTTAATTAGTAAATCATTATTATCTAAAATATTTTTCAGGCTTTAAAACCTGCAAAAAAGTTAATAAGCCGTAAAAATCAATCAATCAAAAAAATATCTTTTAAATTCTAGAATGTTTTCTTTTCTAGTAGAGTAAAACGTTTGTATATGAATTTGGCGACATAATGATTGTGAGTTCAATCTCTGGACAGAAAACATTCTACTCCTGTAGATTAAAGAAAGGGTCCAGTTCAGAATTTCCTGTGGGTGATGCAGATCGATATACACACGACGAAGGCCGCATGGCACAGCGATCGAAACGTTGTGATAACAACAACAAAGATGAAGCCAATAATCCGAACATAAATAGTGTAAATATGAATTATTTTTATCCTTTCAAAAGGTTCAGACCTTCACACCTAAGGCTCCACCCCCGCCACGAGCACTGAAACGAACCATCCCCATTCCCTTCATATTCCATTAGTAAGGAGGAATTTCCGCTACTTTATAGAACAGACTCCCGCGGTGATGCTTTCCCGATCACTACAATCTTAACCTCTTCAAGACTAGTATTAACCGTAATCTAGTATTAACCTACATATCCTTATAATATGTGCCTTTTGTTCCCTCCTCTTATGTTCATAAAACAACTTCTACCTTGAGTGACTCTTGAACTTTATAATTGCTGGATATTAGTAGAAAAAACTCTAAATCCCAGACCTCATGTGACTGGGAAGAAAAAGCTGAAAAATTAACACACTTAAGAATCAACGCTAAGGCCGGGCGCTCCCTTTGGTAAGAAGGAAGTCCCACTCAGACAGAATCTTCCCAAGAACAACCACTTTATAGAACAAACTCCCGAAAGGATGCTTTCTCGACTACTAGAATCTTAATCTCTTCAAGTCTAGGGTCAGCTGTTATCTATCCAGCATATCCTCATAACTGTCAATTCTGTAAATTATTGCTAAAAATATTTTCCTCCTGGATTAACTGCCTTAAAAAGCTAGATAACTCCACTTGCTCTGCTAGTTGACTCTAGCGTTGTGGGTGACATCAGAATGCAATCCTGACCTTGCCTTTTGAGAAATATGGTGTCATACTTTTCCTAGGGAGACTACTTTGCTATTTTCCCTATCGGCTATATTATATCTGGTTGGCCTATTGTTGCATATATTCGTTTATTTGCTGTTCCCTTGCTGCTCCAAATAACGAACTATTTATACAGTACTTCAGCCGTATCTCGTGTGGCTTGTTGTCCATTATAGCTCTTAATCTCTGCCCCCAGAACGAGGCTCTTCTCAAACATGGATTTCACCCAAAAGAGAGAGCTGAAACTTAAGTTTCATTAATTTTTCTACTATATTCTTTGATTTCCATTCTAGGTTAAATTGATTTTCTGCGTTAATAAACTAAATATTTGATAGCACTACTTAAATTGACTGGTCCGCTCCTGAATAGAAATAGGGAATATTTTGTCGTGATCTAATTTGAGGACACATGACACAGTGGATAAAGGCGTTAGTTAGATCCAGTGACAGGACCCAAAGAGTGTGAGTTCAATACCCGGTTAAGGTTGTGGAGAACTTGAAGAGGAGAATTAACAGGAGATAACTGATAACTGACATCCATTAGACGTGACACGTGGAACTAGAACAGTCTACCCCAGTGAGCGAAATAAAGGGTTCAGTTCGACATTCAACCACCTGACAAAGGCCGGAGCGTACAACGGCCGAAACGTTGTAATAAATATGGCGACAAAGATGAGGAAAATATTCCGAATAATGTAAATAGTGTCTAAAAATATTGGTTAATTTTTATTATTTTAGAATAGAAACCTTGTTCTTAAAATAAATCTAGTGTCAAATCGATCCCTAAATCTTAAAGGGTCATCTGTTAATTTTACACATCTCAAATTTGGAACTATGTTTACGTCATTGATATCTTTGTTTTGAGAAGATGTTTTAAAGGGATATTTCATTAAATAACTTCTATGTAACTTTTTTTCAGAAAATCTTTTAAACAAGCAGCTTACGTTCACATCACGTTGAAACAACAGTTCTCGTAAGGTAAGCAAACATCAAGCCATCAAGTACCTAGATGCCGTAGACTTGGATGTGCGGATGGTGTGATGAATAACAGCTAGGAATTCTTAATCGTAGAGCCGAGTTCCAATTCCAATTGGGTTCGTTCTATTCAATTACGCGAAAATATCTTTCTGAAAGTTATGAATCGACTTCTTCTCATCCTACCCATCATCTAGGGTTTAGTTATTAGGACGATAAATCATTATTATCTCCAAAACATGATTGCAGTCTAAAAATACTTTCTGACTTTAAATAACCTGCAATGGGTTGATAAGCAGTAAAAGAAATCAATAAATCGATTTTAAAAAAAGCAATAAATTGTACATATCCATCTATTCTTCATTTAAGATAAATAATTATTATCCCACAATGTTTATATAAGTAACTCCGAAAAAACATCATCCCACATAAAATGACAACTTTATTATTTTTTTTAATTACAGGTAACTATTTTTAAAAGTCAGGGATCGAGTTGAAATTGTATTTATATCATGAACAGGATTCCACTGCTAATCTACAAAAATTATACCTTGACCAAAAGGAAAAATTCCCCAATTTTTTTTTTTTTTTTTTTTTTTTTTTGTGACGACCGGATCGTTGAATTTAACTAGTGCCGATTTGATGTGCCAGGAAAATTGATTATATCGCATCTGAAAGTGATCAGTTTATCTCAGCAAATCTCAGCAGACAGCCTGTATAATGCCCATTTGAAATGGAGAAAAAAAATCTTATCAGTGTTTAAATATAATGCATTACTTAAAGAATAAATCTATTTCTATAAATGCTATATATTTAGATATTGTAGAATATATATATATATATATATATATATATATAGAGAGAGAGAGAGAGTATTATACGTATACGATACTTACAAGTATTTATCTATATGTATATATATATATATGTATATGTATATATCTATATGTATGCAGGTTATCTTGGTGAAGATAAATATGCACTATTAATAAAAAGGATTTGTAATTTATATTAAAACAACTCAGTATCAATTATACAAGATAAAACCACTTAAAGCCGAATTTATTCTGCACAGGAAACACACAATATTTTTTTTAAATTTAGAAAAAAATTGGCGAAGAAAACAATTTAGAACTAAATTTATTCTTTTTTCTTTTGCTTTTAGAAGTTTAATTTCTTTCTAATTCATCTTTTTCTATAATTGTTATTTACGTTATCCCTTAAAGCAGATTATTTTGCCTCTGAGATGGGACGGTCTGGAATTACGCCATATGGTGTGTTTCCGATAACAAGTTCCTGTGTTCCCCGTTTTCGTCTGACGCAAACCAAAAAGCGTCTCTCTCTCTCTCTCTCTCTCTCTCTCTCTCTCTCTATCTCTATCTATCTATCTATCTATCTATTACTGAGTACTTTTCTCACTGTCTGTGTCTCTTTCTTTCTCTTATACAATTTCTATAATTTTCTGTTTCTTTCCTTCTTTCTTGTACAGAGCTCTCTTCTGTTGTATCTCGTAATTCAGTTTTGTTCTTAGTCGATTAACCAGCCTTTTATTGACAGTAAAAGAAAATTCAGTTGTTGACATCAATCAATCTTTGATTGGCTCAAAACATTATTTATTTGAATGTCATGTCCCTTTAGGGCTTAACTTATCCAATATTCTCCACAGATATTTCTTTATCTATAAATTGTCATTCCTTTTAAGGGAAGATAATAAAGAGGCTTCAACCGGCGATGTGTGAACTGTTGTCACTGAATTTATCTATCAGTCTTTAAATAACAACTATGAGGCTGTGACTTTAGATATCTCGAAAGCGCTTGACAAGGTTTACTGACCTTTCCCACAAGCTCAAGTGATATAGAGTCTCTGGCCGGATAATGGACTTAATCCAAGTCGTTCTTAACAAGTATCAGGTGATGAAGGTCGTATTGAACTGCCTCCATTTCCACATCATTTCAAATTAATGCGGGGTGCCCCCAGAGATCTATCCTTGTGCCTACATTATATTTTTTTTTATCTTTGTCAACGATCTTTCCGAATCATTCGTCCTCAACTAGGTATTTATGCTAAGGACACAATTATTTACTCTTGTAAGCCCGATAAATTCAACAAAGTAAAACTGGCAACTGCTCTTGAAAACCACCTTCAATCAGTTAAGTGAAGCAAGAAACGGTTTGTAAATTTGAACATTTCCAGAACGAAACTGCTATCCTTTAATGATTATAGAAAAGCATTTTCCTTCCATCACATGCCTGATTTTTTTATCTCCAGGACAGCGACTCATTGCACCTTATCAATCTCACGTTTTCTACTGACACGAAGAATCAATGGATTGAATCATAGATTGAATCAATTGTTAGGTCTTGTCAGAATCCACATTGCAAATTTATAAATCTGCCATTCTACATAAATCTTCCGTGCATTGAAACTTTCTACTATAGCTGTCCCGGTTCTTCGATTATATTTCGAGATTCTTGACACAATCCAAAGAAGGATTTGGAATGTTATTAATCCTGACTTAGCATCTCGACTTCAGTCACTTTCCCACCGCCATTGCTCACACCGTCTTTTTCATAATTAGTTTCATGGCAGTTATTTTAATGAGCTCTTCTCCTTGGTATCTCAACTGAATGAATTTAAACGTACTGCTAGATTGGCAGCTAGGTCTCATCGTATACTGTTGAAATTGCTAGATGTAACCGTAAGTTCTATTCTAATGATTTCTTCTCTTTCACTTCTTGCCTGTGGAACTCTCTTCCAATTTTTTGCTTCCCTGTCATTTACAATCTTCAAAAAATGTATGCGTCAGTCG